GCCAGGGTGCTTACCCTGGCGAGCCGTGTGCCGAATGTTGTTGACCCCTGCCATATAGTGTGGAGTGAGTGAACCATAATCCTGTGTATTGGGGAGCAGCAGGCCACATCCACCATTCTCCTCCATATCCTGTAGCCAAAACCTATTGTATGGACACCCGGGCTGGTTGGAGCTGAGGATCCTGACCTGCAGCTCCACAGTGTTTGTCATGAAGAGCAGGACTTGGCATTTGTTCCTTTTCAAAGGGTTTGGCCTACATTTCTGAGCTGATTTGGGTGAGAAGTTTCATTTGAATCATAATTTTCTTTAACTGTGCAAACTGTCTGAAACATCTGGCTCAAGGGTTTGTTTTATAATAAGCAAGATATTTGAAGGAATTTAAAATACAATAGTATTGTAACATTTATGAAGATTTGTGCTGTAACATAATTGTTTTTTTTATCAGGGTTCATAATTAATGGTCAAATATATTTAACATAGAATAGCCTGTATTAATAAAGACACATTAGTATGTGGTTTGATGAGCCAGTGGAAAAATAAAGCTTTGATTGTGGCAACAAAATGTGCTCTCACTCAGTTAGGCCAAAAGTAAGCGTTCTACCACAGCTTGATGCTATTTTTTTTGCCAAAAATGCTGAATACAGGGCCGGCTCCAGCGTTTTTGCCACCCCAAGTGGCGAGGGAAAAAAAAAAAGCCGCGATCGGTGGCACTTTGGCAGCAGCTCTACCGCCGCCACCTCATTCTTTGGCGGCAGGTCTTTCCCTCCAAGAGGGACTGACAGCCCCGCTTGCAAATAGCTGGATGTGCTGCCCCCTTCCGTTGGCCACCCCAAGCACCTGCTTGCTGCGCTGGTGCCTGGAGCCAGCCCTGGCTGAATATAACTATTTTTTTACATGATGACTCTCCTTGTCACCCCTATTTAAAGGAATCCGATAGCCAAACAGATGCCATATGGTTGGATGGATAGGGGCTGAGTAGAAATAATTTAACTGTGCACTTGTAACAGCCCCTGTAGGCCTCTCATTTGTATCTCTGCTAATGAAATTTTCATGGCAACTTGTAGTTTTCCAAACAGCTTAAATAGTTTGTAATAGGGAATGAGGGGGGAAATTGGGAATGTCATTTTTTTTGCTTCTTTATGATGTATTCACAGCACCTGAAAGGTGTGGAGGTGAGCTGTTGCTTTTTTATGTTGTTGTTTTTGGTGGTTTTATTTGTGTGTTTTGTTGTTTTTTCCCATACTTGTGTTTTGCTGAAATTTGAGGAAAAACAAGTCTCTCCTCTACTTGGACAACCAGAGGACTGGAGTATCTTCGCCCTTAATTACAGGGATGATGAAGTTTGTATTTTTAACAAGGACATTTTTCTTCCCAACTGTTTGCCACCACCTTTGAATTAAACAGGTATTAACAAAAACAACTAGTTTAAAACTGACTAAAAACCCCTTCTCCCAATTGTTCAGATTTCACTTGTGTACTGGTGATGTTAAACCAGTTCTCTAGTCATCCATAGAGACTTCAAGTGAGAATAGGGTGGACAAGTCTTGAATTTCTAATGTGTGTATGAATTCTTTCAAGATTTTGTTTCTTCTTTATACATCAGAAACAGTAAAATAAAAAAGTCACAAACCCATTGTCTTTCTTTCTTTTCCACATCCCATTTAAAATTCCTTATAGGTCAGCTAGGCAGATTGGTCTTGCAGCACAGTTAGTGAAACTTAGTATTTCATATTGACTTTAAAATTCCAAGCTCATAGAATCATAGAAGACTAGGGTTGGAAGAGACCTCAGGAGGTCATTTCACCCAACCCTCTGCTCAAAGCAGGACCAACCCCAACTAAATCATCCCAGCCAGGGCTTTGTCAAGCTGGGCCTTAAAAACCTCTAAGGATGGAGATTCCACCACCTCCCTAGGTAACCCATTCCAGTGCTTCACCACCCTCCTAGTGAAATAATTTTTCTTAATATCCAACCTAGACCTCCCCCACTGCCACTTGAGACCATTGCTTCTTGTTCTGTCATCTGCCACTGCTGAGAACAGCCTAGCTCCATCCTCTTTGGGACCCCCCTTCAGGTAGTTGAAGGCTGCTATCAAATCTCCCCCCCCACCACTCTTCTCTTCTGCAGACAAAATAAGACCAGTTTCCTCAGCCTCTCCTCATAAGTCATGCACCCCAGCCCTCTAATCATTTTTGTTGCCCTCCACTGGACTCTCTCCAATTTGTCCACATCCTATCTGGGGAGGAAAGGGGGGGGCAAAACTGGACACAGTACTCCAGATGTGGCCTCAACAGTGCCGAATAGAGGGGAATAATCACTTCACTTGATCTGCTAGCAATGCTCCTACTAGTGCAGCCCAATATGCCATTAGCCTTCTTGGCAACAAGGGCACATTGTTGACTCATATCCAGCTTCTTGTTCACTGTAATCCTAGTTCTTTTTCTGCAGAACTGCTGCTTAGCAAGTTGGTCCCCAGCCTGTAGCAGTGCATGGGATTCTTCCATCCTAAGTGCAGGACTCTGCACTTATCCTTGTTGAACCTCATCACATTTCTTTTGGCCCAATCCTCCAATTTGTCTAGGTCACTCTGGACCCTATCCCTACCTTCCAGCATATCTATCTCT